GGCTAAACTACCATTATTTTCCTGGTGTGAAGTTTGCCAATAAGTGTAAAGAGCTATCAACAGGTCCATGGTCTGCGACCCAGTCTTCCCACTGCCAGGAGTCTCTCCCAAGGAAAATAATCAGACGGGCAATTCGCACACAAAGTTTTCATCTCAGAGCTGTCTAGCAGCAAAAGAATAGACACGAAGATCTGAATTGAGAGGTGGCTTGGTAAGCATCGCATACCATCGACAGAAGAGTGAGCACCACTAAGTAACCGAGGGTCAAAGGAATCACAATTTATGCTTTAAAAAGGCAACTGGGCCAGGTATGGTGGTGCCTGCCTATAATCCCAGTATTAGGGGGCTGAGGCGGGAGGTCTGCCATGAGTTCAGGGCCAGCCTGAACTACATAGAGAGCCCTTGTCTCAAAAGACCAAAACCAAAAAAAGGGAACTGGATATAAAATATGAATAAGGATCTGTTTTATTTTTTTTAATTGTTTTTAATGTATTTAGTACAGGGTCTACAAGGGTCTCACTATGTAGATCGGACTCTGCTGATTCTCCTGTTTTCAGCCTCCCAAGCACTGGGATTACAGGCACGCGCCACCACGCCCAGTCTCAACCACCATCTCAGTGAGCCCCAGGGACAGGCTGGCACAGCACGCCCAGAATCTAACCCCAGCCACTGCACTCTACCTAAGCAGGCACTTTAGTCTGTGTTTTTAAAATCTATATAGTTATGTATATATAACACCAGTGTTGAAACTGGTTATATCTGGGTGGCAGAATAAAGAAAGATTATGTTTTAAAAAGAAGATCAAAGATACAAAAGAAGAGAAGGACGAAGAAGAGAAAGGAAGATTCCTCCTCTCACTCCAACGTCCTATCCACTACAGCGTGGAGGAAGCACCTGGAGCTCTAGGTTTAAGAGGAGAAGGGAGATTCAAATGAATCTCCTGCCACCCATGGATCCTGGCCAGACATGTTTGGGTGACCAGGGGGCCACAAGAGCCATCCCTTGGCCAGTTCCAAAGAGCAGACTTCTGGGTGAGCTGGAGAGCGGAGCCTCTGCAGGCAGGTCCTGGACATCCCAGCAAGCAGCTGCAGTGCTCAGGCCCTGCCGCAGGCAGAGCGGAGGCTGTGAGGGGAAGGTAGGGGCCCTCGACGGCTCCATGCTTCCTGAGCACAGTCCTGCAAACCTCTGCTCACCAACATGACCTTCAGCATCTTGAGTTTCTCACGGCACTGTCTTTCCCAAACCTGGGCCCTCAGTCCTGGGTGAGGCCCTGGTCCCTGAGTCCTGGTGTGAACCACTCTCCTCATCCTCATTTCCTCCCAGTGATAACTTGGGGCCAGCTGCAGGCTCACCTGAACAAAGACGGGGAAAACCAAGACTTTGGGGGCCAGGGTGACGTAGGTGCCATAGCTTGAGTGCGGGACGTGTGGCCTCAGAAGCGAGCAGTCCTGGTAGTTCCCTCGGCCTTTCACCGTCTGCACAGTTTTCATCAGCCGTGACTTCTTCCCCAGGCCTGTGTAGGACTTCCCTTTAGTGGGACTCCCTGGTTCTGTGGAACAGAGGTGGGGGAGAGGGAGGCATTTCCATGGCTGCTGGGCAGGATCCCCTTTGAGCTGCAGCTGGTGGCACACATCTGTAATCCCTGCACTTGGGAGGCTGAGGCAGGAGGATCACCATGTGTTGAGGTCTCCTGCCAGTCAACACCACTGATTGATAGCCCACCTCGTACTGGGCCTCTGCAAGGAGCTGGGGACACAGGAAGCTCTAGCTGTGTCTCAGACCTCAATCCCTCACACTCTAGTGAGAAACAGCGATATACAAACAAGCAACTCCAGGGCAAAGATAGAGCTGGGGACCAACAACTATGAGATGAAGCAATTCCCAGTCAGCATTCTCGTCCCCAATCAAATCTATTTATTGGCCTCCCACTTAAAAATCAAGAAACCACTCATATTTTTAAAATTGTAATGACTGACTTCACTAGACCTGTAGGCCACATGGAACAATGAGTTGGAGCTGAAAGCACTGCCCTAGGTGGCAGAGCTTCTGCTCAGGCCCTTGCCACCACCCCAGCACGTCCATCGCCCCCCACGGACTAGACATTCTCTATAGCGGTGGCCGAGGCAGTGGACTTTGCCAGGACGCGTGCGGCCTGCCCTCCTCTAGTCAAGCAAGCCGAAGTAGCCGTGCTGAACACAGCCTGTCACCAGCAGTAAAAAGTAGCACTAGTGCCAGGCACAGTGGCCCCTGCCTACCCTGGGAAGACAGCTGGGGCCAGGCAAGAAGATCACCAACTTCAGCCACATGGGCAACTTAGTGAGCACCTATCTCAAAATAGAAAAAATAAAAAGGGCTGGGCATGAAGCTCAGCAATAGAACACTTGTTTAGCATGTTCAGGCTCCTAACCTCAAACCTCAGTACTACAATTTTAAAAAAAGAAGTAACACTCTTTTTAAAAAGAGTGCCACTCTCGTTCTTGGTAAGGAGCACAGCTCTGAAGGCAGGTGGCTGCGCTCAAAGCCTGCTCCCACAGGCGCCAGCTCCGTGACACTGGGCGACTTACTTCACCCCCCCCCAGAGCCTTGGTTGCTTCAACCGGAGTAAAAGTGCCAGGCACCCCAGCTGCTGCCAGGGCTAACAAGCTGCTCTGAGCCAAGCCCTAGGGCAGGGTGCTGGACTGGGAAAGGTTCAGGGAAAGCCAGCTTCTGACTTGTCATCATCTGAAAATGGGAGCCCAGTGGAACTGTGGGAATGCAGACATCATCGCTTCCACAAGGTCCCCCACAAGTTACTGCAGAGGAGACCACCAGCCGGGAAAAGAGTGAAGAGCAAAAGGCCATTTGGAATGGGAGCCTGTCTTTAAGGGGACTCTGAGGGATACACTCAGTCCCCAAACAAGGGGCGGCATGCAGTTCTTAATCACGTCCCATCCAGCGGGCAAAGAAACAACAGCCAGAGTAGCTAAAAAGACAGAGATCCCGGGACACACGGAGCAGCGAGCCCAAGCCCAGAGCAGTCGGACTCCACATGCACCTCGGCCTCCCCCAAGGGTTGCTGCTTCTAGGAGGCAGCCAGCCAGACCCTCCTGGACCTGGGTGCCCACCCTGAGTCCGAGCACTGGGTCTCAACACCTTCCTTTAACCCCAGCCCTAGAAGCCAGTGGAGTAACAGATGGCCTGACCCAGCTCCACTCAGGGAAGCTCCCCACCAATGCAAGGCCCTGGAGGAAACACTCAGCTCAAAAGGTTTCACACTTGCTTTCGCCTCCCACTTGCTACCCCTTCTTACCAAGAGGCGAGAAAAACAAGTCAACCTCCTCCACCCCCACAAGTGACCATGACCACAGTGATCAAACCATGATAAGTAGAAAGCAGGGAGCCCAGAATGGGGGTGGGAGGGGCAGATGCAGGGAGCAAGTTGCAAGGTTCTTCTGCTAGGCTGGCCCTGAGGACATCTGTGCAGACAAAGGCCTCTAGCAAAGGACCCATCCTGAGTCTCAAGGTCTGAACAGCAACAGAGTTGGGTAAGACCCCTGAGCTTCAGGGTGACTCCCCAAGTCAGAGGCTGGCTGTGCAGTTCTGTACAGGTTCCTTTCCTCTCTGAGTTGGTTTTCTTCATTGCAAGTGGAGGTAAAGATGGCTGCCTTACCCAGAAGCTCACACAAAGGGCCTCAATGGAAAAGACTTCATGGTTTGCGCAGGAAGGTGCATGTGCCGTGTCATGCTGAACCCTAAGCCCCCCAGTAAGCTGTCCACTGTGGCTGGCGGAAGCAGAGAAAGGCCTGCTGGGCTGGAAGCCATACCATGCCTGAGGCCACACAGTCAGCCTAGAACTAGATGGACTAATTTAGCATGGAAGAGTCGAGGCTGGAGAAGGCAAAAACATTCAAGCAGGGGACTGCAGCCACCTCGGCCAGAGTCACCAAAGGATATCTTTGCGCACAGCAAAATCTGAGCCTTGGGCCCCAAGTTGATGACTTTTTTAAAACTCCATGTCATCCCTTCCCTGGCCCAGCGGCCCAAGGCTATCTGGGAATCTTCATCTTGGGCCCGAGAGTCACAAATCAACTCCTTGACCCATCATTTGGCCTTCACAGAGGGGTGGTCTGCTTAGCCACAGTGTACAGACGAGGAAATTAAGGCCCAGCGTGATGTGAGGCACAGGAGCATGGCTCCCCAGAACTGACTTTCCAAGAATCTGTTTTTAGAACAGTCCAGATTGCAACCCAGTTGCCAAGCTCTGTGAAGACAAACTCATTTACTTCCACCTGCTACCTCTTATGGCAATGTCTGGTCCCTCTCTCCTCTAACACCTGCTTCACTAGCCAAACACAATAATGACACAGCTTTGCTCTCAGCTTCCAAGGCAAGCCCTGGCAGCCATCCTGCCCTGGCAGCATTGGATCTGAGGATAGGCTGCCTTCTTGGGGTGGAAGACAATGCACAGGGCACCAGCAACCCCATAGAACATGCCAACTATAGCCCGGCAGGACCCCAGGCCCCAGAAGGGCACCAGACCCTGTTCAATTCAGGTGCAACCTCCTCATCAATGACTATAGCAGGCTCAGAATCAGCTCCCTGGTCCAGAGCCTACATGGAGCCCGTTTCCCCACAACGGACACAAGCGTTCTCCCACGTGCTCACCCTAAGGCTGGTGTTCAGCCTTAAGCTCTGGACAAGCTGTGTTCGAGGAAAACTTGCTGTCCTGAATTTCACCCCTTCTTCTGAACCCCAGACCTGAGAGCTATGAAGACCTGATCCTTGGGTAAAGAACAACTATGTCCGAGAATACCAAAGGGATTATCGCTGTGCAAGTAAGTGAAGGAAAGTCAAGGTCCTAATATAATGCATTCCAAAAGCTGCCATTGTTATGAACGTGATCATTTCCTCGCCAGTCCCTCCCAAAGCTTAGATAACCGTGCCTTTCTTAGTATTCTATTCTCAGTGGGGAATGAAACATAAATACAAGTTGGGAGCGACCACAGAGGCGGCTCTCAGGCTGAGGGGGAATCAATCCCCCACCACCTAGCCAGCAGTGTCCAAGAGCCTGAAGCAAGCAGCACACCTCTCTGGCTCCCTACCTCCATGGGAGTAGCTGCAATTCTACTGAGCACCTGCTGTCTTGCAGGCTGGCCCCTCATCCACAGAAATATGCCAGGCTAGGCCCTGCCCTTAATGAAGTCACCATTTAGCAGTGACATCTTCAGTCTAGCCTAATGTGCCACAACTAAAAGCTTTTAGACACTTACTGTTGAATCACGCTAGGACTCCTCCCTAGAAGGAAGACAACTTGATGTCTAGCAGGCCAGACACAGCTGCCCAAAGGCCCCCAGAGGGGAGAGAAAGGTGGGGCCTTGAAGTACCATCTGTCCAGAGCCTACATGGGGCCCGTTTCCCCACAACAGACACCAGCGCTCTCCCAAGCGCCCACCCTAAGGCTGGTGTTCCAGCGAGCAGTGGAGGAGGGCAGCAGGGCAGCGAGGCTGTGCGAGCTGGAGAACAGCCAGGCTGCAGGAAGGGAGGTCAAGGGCGCCCTGCAGGCACCACAAGAAGGGCTGGAGCACACCCGCGGTGGGCACCAGAGGCTGGGACCAGCCTTGCCAGGCATCTGCTGGACTTAGGGTCAGAGCTCTGCAGCAAGCACATGGGGGCCTAATGGAATGCGCAACGAAGACCCGTAACTCAGGCTGCTGGGGGAAGGGTTTGGTTTGGAGCCCAGCTTCCATCCCTGGCCAGAATTTGAAGGCCAAAGGAGCAGAGTCCACCCAGGAGCAGAGACTTCTGTGCCCTTCAAAGCTGAGCACCCTGTGTCACATGGCTCAGGATGCAAGCTCCTGCTCATAACCACGTTCTCACACACGCATTCCTCCCAACACCCCTCTGAGTAGAAATTACTCACCCATATTGTAGATGAAAAAACTGAGGCTCGGGAAGGGCACATCAGTTGCTCAGAGTCACACAGCTAGACCTCCAACCCCACACCTCTAGCTCCACATGCACAGCTCTCCTCTGTGCTGGGCTCACCGTGTTGCCTACAGCACCTGACTGAGATGGTTGCTCAGTAAAACTGGATGACATCAGCTGCATGCCTGGGTTCTGAGCATTCTGCCCTAGAAGATCCCACTCTTCCTTCTCAGTTCTGGCTTCAGACACTGATTGCATGAAGGAGGAAAGGTACCAGGAGAAAGGAGGTCCGTGTCAGCCTGCTGGTGACCGTGACTCCACCAGAAAGCCTTGGAGGAAGAGGCTGGGCCCAGCCTCAGCTGACCTCTGCCATCGCAGGGCTGGGTAGGCAAAGCAGTAGGGGGGCAGCTTACCTTCAGGGATGGTGTCCTCCTGGTACACAGGCCGTAGCAACTGCAAGGGAAAAACAAGAGAATCAGCTCAACCCCAAGAATGAGGTGGGATGGCCCAGCAAGTGGATGGCACCAGGCCTAGGGAACGGGGAGTGAAGCATCTTCAGGCATGAGGGAAGAATATCAGTGCTGCCAACCAGCTGAGGGAGGCTGGTGGGGAGGACACAGCAGCTCAGAACATGCGAGTCGAAAGAGGCTCTGTGTGCCACGAATTCTAACCTCCAGGCAAGATCCCAACAGGCTGCTCTAAAACATGCTGCATGGGTCGCTGGAATGGTGGGACCCCAACAACCACACCATAAAGGACGCTGCCCTTGAGGATGTTTGGGGAAAGCCAGGCTAAACCACTTGCTTTACTGCAAGATGCCCTCAGAACCTTGGATTTTCTTCCCCAAGTTGAACAGAGTACAGGATATTTCCCAAACGCATGTGACCTCAGAACACTTTTTTCCCATACTACCTCATGGGACTAATGTTTGGGGCAACATACTTATTCATCTCCTCATATCATGTGCTGTCTAATTTCACACCTCCTCCAGTGGAGAATTTATCACCTACTAGAGTAGCCTATCCCACTGCAGACAAGCAGAGCTGGTAGAAAAGTCTTCTGCATGTGAGCTGACATCTTCCAGCCTGTCAAGCCCTGATCCTGGGTCTGTGCCCTAAGGCCACCCAGGCCATATGCACTCTGTGAAACCCCGAAGAGGCCAGAGCAGTACAAAGGCCATCTCCTTCTCAACACTGCAGGCCTTTGCAGCTTCTCACAGCCCAATTTTGAGTGCTTGGGATTTCCTGGCTCTCACAGGGACCCAACACCCTTCCCCCCTCCCCATACCAGCCACCCATACCTGGCTCCCAGGGTTCAGCGGGGCCAGGATGATGTAGTTGGGGTCGGCAGGGGTGGTGGCACGGGACAGCGCTGGCAGGGTGTGCTGGCCTCCGTGCTTGCCCACCTCGGTGTAGCGCTCCCAGCCACCAAGCAGCAACCCATCTGAGCTGTCACACACCAGGTGGCAGCTATGTCGCTGCTCAGGCCGTGACTGGGCCGCATGGGTACAGTTCTTCTCCCTCTTGTTGGGGGGTGAAAGGAGGTCATGTGTGGACTTGCAGGAGGCCCGCCGCAGGACCCCACCATCTGGCCCCGGCTTGACCTGGGGGACCATGCGCCACACGAGCAGGATGATCTCTCCCGGGCAGCTCCTGGAAGGTTGGGGAATCACACAGAGAGGCTGAGTCAGCAAGGTTGGGGGGCTCTGCAGGCAGAGAGGAAGGGGAGGAGAGGAGGAAGCATATGCGGGGGGAGGCTCTTCATCTCAGGGTAAGGAGAGACAAAGACAGCAAAGGAGTCTCATGGGTCAACTTTACCCTAAGCTCACTTAGTAGTGGCTGAGAAAGACCCCAAGGCCAGGGCCAGGCTCAATGGGAAGAGCACTAGACTCAGCTTATGATGCCTGTCATGGGGAAGACACAGACAAGCAGGAGCAAACAGGTCACCTCAGTACAACCCTTATCCAGCCATGGAAGAGGCAAACATAGATGGCCCCTTCAGACCTTACTTCAGAGGCTTGTTCAATGGGTCCCAACATTTTTTTTTCTTTTTGTATTTTAGGGAAGGGTCTACAGGCTGTTCAGGGTCTCACTACTAGATCAGACTCATAATGATCCACCTGTTTACAGCCTCCAAACAGCTGGGATTACAGGCGTGCACCACCAAGACCAGACTCAATTGCAGTCTCAGTGCACCCTGGGGGTGGAGTCGGCACAGCAGACCCAGGGATTGAACCCCTAGCCCCTGTGCCTGCTTGCAGGAGCTTTAATCTGCTGAGCTATTTGGCTGGTGCTCCAAACATTTTAAATAATTTTTTAATTGTGCAACCAAAACACATGCAATATCCAATATCTATGCACCCTTAAAGAGAGTGCCCAGCTCTTAGGTAGCAGCAACAATCAGCTAATGTGGAGAGTGACCTGCCATTGCCGCATCTGGAACCAAAGGTCTGTTGAGAGCAGCTTGCCTGCTTTTTGCTCTGAGATCCCAGTCTGCCTGGGACCTCAGCCTTCCTTTTCAGGCCAAGAACCCAGGTCCCTGAGGAGCAGAGCAGATTGCTCCCAGCTGGGCAAAGGAGGGGCTGGCAAGAGCAGGGCAGAACAAGCCATGTGCCCAGCGCCAGGGTGGGGAAGCTATGTCATCAGCCCAAGGTCCATCCACGCCCCACCCCTGTCACCGGATCTCATGGGCCAGCTCCACGCATTTCCAATGCTCCACGGGCCTCTCGTTCAGTTGCAGCACTGTGTCCAGCTGCTGCAGCCCTGCTCGCTCTGCTGGGCCCCCTGCAGAAACAAAGAGAAGCCATTCAGGGGCTCCTAGAGCCCAAGATGCCCCCCATGGACCTACAGTCCTTTTCTTCCTGAGGGACCTCAGGAAAGTGCTCTACTTTTTCTGTTTCTCCACCTGTGAAATGAGGGGCCAAACCTGGTGGCTTTTGAGAGCCAGCAAGTCAGACACCCTTAGCCCTCATCTCTTCCCAGCCTAACTCATCCCTGTCCTGGGCCACCTTTCTTCCCTAGGCCCACCCACTCTCCTGGGCCACCTGGCCATCCTGTGCAGGAACAGGGGTGGCCTGATCATTGAGGCCTGTCTTCTGCCCCTGAAATACACACTCTGTGACAAGGAAAGGTCCACTTATGGAAAGTGCAGAAGAGATGACTACTTTTAAATGGTAATCAAGAACTGGGGATATAGCTCAACGGCACAAGCACCTGCCTGGCAAGCGCAAGGTCCTGAGTTTGATTCTCATTACCAAAAGAAAAATGTTAATCAGGCTTGTACTAGGATGAAATACTAATTCTAAGAGAGTTTGTCAGTAACTCATTTTCCCCCAATCATTACAGAAAATCAGGTTTCATTTGTGCCTATTCAAAATGATTGGCAATCAAAATATGAAAGCTTATTTTCACTTTGATAAAAACAAAAAAAATGTCAGTATATTTTCATAAACCTCAATTCTGTCTGTGGTCATTTAAAAATATTATTCTTTTCATTTGAAAACCCAGGAGCTCTCCAGTGTGGGGCTCGCCATCCAGTTCTATCCTGTCTGCAAAACCCAGGTGGTTGGCAGGCAGGCAGGGCCTGGCATTCCCCAAGTGGTGAACTTACCAGAATCTACCGCCTGGACTCGGACCGGAGAGTCACAGCAGATAGTGAAGCCAAAGCCGTCCTCACCCCTCGGGATGGTGATCTAGAACACAGTCCTGCCCAGTCACTCCCAGAAGCCCCAAGGCTGGGAAGCCCACAGGCCCCACCCAAAGCCACCCTCCTCTCCAAGGGAACTAGAGCCAAGATCAGTCCTTCACTGTCCTTCTTTGGATCCAGGCACCCTGACACCAAACAGGAGGCTGAGAGCTCAGGAGGTAAACCCCAGGTGAGGCTAGGAGAGCCAGAAAAGGACAGGGCCCAAGGAAGGCAAACTTGTTCTGCTAACCCCCAGCAGCCCCAGCCCTCTACCCAGGGCCCACAGTACCTCTACCTCCATGTCACCATAACCCAGTGCCTGCCTCCATGTTTTCCTCCTTTATCACAAGGGTCTTGGGCCTTTGGCCCAGGGCTGGCCTTGTGCTGAGAACCCAAAGACAAAGACAAACCAGGACCCTCCTTACACACAGGAGGAGGAAACCCAGCACACTCACTTGGTCATAGGCCAAGGGTCAGGGGAAGAGTATGGAGGACCCCAGAGCAAGCTCAGCAGCTGTCCTAGGTGAGAGGACAGGCAAGTGCCCAGAGATGTCTCCTGGGCGGGCCTGAACTAGCCACAGACCACCATGCCTTCTGAGAGTTGTGGGCATGACGGGCCACGATGCCAACTTTCAGAGGGCCTATGAAAGGGTCCTGCCCTCCAGACGTTGTTTCCAAATCAGCACATAAGTTCTGAGCTCCCACTACATGGCCAGCTCTCTGGGATGCAGAAGCATGAGGCCTTTGTCTACTGTGGGACACCAGGATAGACAAATCTCTCCAAAGCAAAGCAAGGTCTGATAAGCAACAGAAAAAAACAGGAGGCCCACGCTGTACACAGTCCTTTGCACTTTGATGTCAGACACCACCTTAGTGGTGGAAGGCACTGGGGAAGGGCAAAGTCAGCATCCCCCACAGAGGATATAGGGTGCAGCTGGGCCACCTGCTTGCTCAGACAGCTAAAGGTGCAACAGCAGAAAAGGGATTCAGTGGGGTCCCAAGAGACTGCCTAGTGCTGGGGCTCAGCATGGTCCCCCAGAGCCATAAGGAAGGTGTCCCAGACTGGAGGAAAACACCAGCTCAGCAAGCCTGGGAAAACCCAAGGCCTTGTTGGGAGACTACTTCTGCTTCCTTCAAGGGTTGCCTCCTTGGGCTGGATACCTGTCATCACCTGCCTGCTGACCCAGGAAGGCCAGGCATGAGGAAAGGGAGCAGGCAGGGGCCTAGGGCACCAAGGCCCTTGGAAACTGCCAGGGGCCCTGAGGCCCGGCTTCCCACCAGCCCTGGGCCTGGATTCAAAGCAAGTTTGTAAAACAGGAAACCTGACAGACAAGGGGAAGGGGGAGGGGGCAGGAAAATACTCTGTTCCCACAAGAATTCTGGGAAAACACGCAGCTAAGACAGGAAGAGAAAAAAATGGAAAGAAAGAAGGAAAAACAAACCCAGGAGTGAGTGTGGAAAGTTAGGGGAAAGGAGTAACGACTCATTGCCCAGCCCACCTGAGGTGGAGAGAAGACATCAGGAGCCCCGGGTGGCTTTTCAGGAGACTCAGCCCACCCTCTGCCCACGCAGAAGCGAGATCGAAAAGCCCTACTGGCACCTCCACAGTCCTATTCCACCATAGGTGTGGCACTTCTTCCCTGGCTAACAGGTCCCAGCCCCTTAAATTCTGGGTTAACCAGATTTGGGGGGGGTCACCCTAGAGCACTCACACCCCAGGTTCCCTGGTGCAGGTGGGCACAGGAGCCCCTCTACTTTCCTGAGTGCAGCTCTAAGAAAAGCCAGGCCAGGAATCAGTGCCATCCAGGGAGGGCAGAAGGAGCAGGAGAGAAGGTGACAGGAAGCAAGCACATGTCCCAGCTCAGGATTTGGGCAGGGCTACGTGAAGGAAACAGAAGGATGCTTGGTGCACAGCACAGAGCTGAGAGGCTGTGATCCCACGGGCCTGCCTGTCTTTACAGCGCTGAGGAGAAGGTGGGTTTAGCCCACCCACGTAGCAAGGGAAGACACCCACTGCGGCTCCCAGCAAGTGTCCCTCCTCCAGCCCTCTTCTCTGACTTAGGACCTTAAGTGTGGGGTGCTCCTGACAGGCTGCCCTTGCTGCAGGTGGTTCTCGCATTTTCCTGACTCCCCGGTCTCAGCCAAGCAGGCAGCTCACTTCTGATCCCCTGCCTGGCCTGGGAGGCTCTGTGACCCTTGGATTTCAATCCCCAACTGTTAGTATGAGAAGGAGACAGACCCTGAGCCCGGCCCTTCCCATAAACCAAACCACACATTCTCACAGCATCCACCCTGGAACCCTGGAGGTCTCTGTTCCTATTTTAGGGACAAGAAGACTAAAGCTCAGAGAGGCAAAGTGACTTGCTTAAGAGCCACAGGAAGAGGAGATCGAACTGGGTTTGGAACCAGATCTGACAGAAAGCTTGTTGCTGGTTTACTTTTTTTTTTTTTTTGGCGGAACTAGGGATTGAACTCAGGCCCTTGCGCTTGCCAGGCAAGCACTTATTCTACTGAGCCATCTCCCCGGCCCCTGTTGCTGGTTTCTAACACAGAAGCCATTTAAGCTCTGAGTCCTAGAGCCCCGGGCCCAGTCCACACACATGCTTGGCTGCTCTCTGACTCCGGCATGCCCCAGTTTTCTTATCCAGAGTCCCAAGAAGACCAGGGACTTCATGACATGCCACCCAGTGCCCTCCCTGCCCCACCAATCTGCCACCCAAAGGAGCACTAGGCTTGTGGGGAAACCCCTGAAGGCTAGGAGGCTGGGGAGAGGACTCTTGGTCCCCAGGCAGCAGGTGCTGTACAGGGGACCCTCTTGGAAGCACCCAGGGACCTACGCACTGCCTGTCAAAGGAGTCGGGATCAAGATTCCAGGCTTGTCATTCAAACAAGCAGAGAGACTTCTCTATATTTTAAAAATCAAAACAAGTTCTCTGCTCCCTTCCAACTTGGACATGCCCCAGATCTGGACTTCTCTTGCCTACACGCTACCTGGCGCTATCCTCTTTGATAAGAAATGTAATGCCTCAGGGCAAATCCAGAAGGAGCCCAGGGACTAGGGGGACCATCCCTCTTGAGCCACAGGAGCCCTGAGCCATGCAAGGATCGAGGCAGAAGGGAGGAAGGCATGCACAAACATGTGCAACCTCCCATCTCACATGCAAGCACACAGCAGTGCACATAAAGGGCCAAGCTGGCACTGCCAGCCCATGAGAAGCAGGAATGTTAGCTGAAACACAGAAGCAAAAGCATCCTCCAGAAACACCCAGCCGCTTGGCCACCAGGCTACTTGCAATCTTAGAGTTGAAATGTCCTTTTTTAAATCCACACACCATCCCCAGATTAAAAAACAGAAAATTTGCTACACAGTCTCTCCAAGGACACCACCCAGCCAGTGGCTAGGACAATTCAGAGCCAGGCCTCACTGGCCCCTAATACAGGGGACAGGGAACAGGCTGGGCCTTGGGGTAGGTTTCTCCTGCCTCTACCCTGCCCCCAAGTGAAAATGTGCTTGCAGGGAGCAGAGGAGGTGAGGCAGGCGTGGTACAAAGAGAGGTCCTGCTCAAGAGAGCGCCCACCCTGACCCCCCACACCCCTCAGGTCCCTTGCTCTGGGGGCCAAGCACCCACCTGCCTGTAGCGGCGCTCCGAGCACACCTTGCAAAGCCCATTGAAGCGGTTCATGGCTGCGGGTCCTGCCTCGGCTACCGCCCCATGAAAACCCAGCTCTCCCCCCAGCCTCGGGGCCACACTGCGCCCGTCAGCCTGGCATGACCGCCCTGGGAAGCCCGCCCTACAGAAGAATGGCAGGAAATCACCTCTCACCTCCCCAAGCCCTGTCTGCGCTGTGTGCCTCTGCAGATAAGCCCGAAGGCTTCCTGAAACCCCAGAATGACAAGGAAGAGGGAGAGTTTTATATTAAAATTCCTGTCAACTAGTTAGTATTCCTCTGGCTTGGCAGGGAGAGGGCGCCTTTGTTCTGGCTGCATTCTCCGCCATGGGCCACTTTGTGATTCCAATGTTCTCACAAACACCCCTCGCTACCCTGCCGAGGAGAACCCGGGCAGAAAACACGCCTACCCTGCAAATCCCAAGGTCCCCAGGGGCACATTGGAGGGACAGACCCAGCCTAGTGACCGAGGAGTCTTGTGGTGTTGTGCCTGTGGACATCCTATCTCAAAACAGAGAGCACAAAACTTGGGGAGGCTCAGGACAGCTGGCCACCCTGGAGCTGCTTCTAAATCAGTTTCCTTGTCCATGTAGGAGGCGGGCCCCATGAAGGGCCCAATGATACACAGGCCATAAAGCCAGGAGTGGAAGGGGGCTTCCAAGTCATCATCGGATGACCCAGCCTCCTCTCTACCAGGGAAGGGACTGAGGCCAGAGAAGTTAAGGTTAAATAGCAGGACAGAACCCAGGACCTGTTTCCTGCCTTGGAGTCCTAGATAGCAGCACAGCATAGCCCAGTCCCCTGTGTACCTGGGACCCTGGAGGACACCCACCTCTCTATCCTTCTGACAGAAGATGTGCCCTGACTGGGTCACATATGAACCATGGCCAAGTGGCCCAGTTTCCCCACCTGCACCATTCAGGAGTCAAACAGGTGACCAGTGGTGGCTTTCCACAAGCCTCTGGCAATCACAGCCTCTTGGCTGAGCCCTGTGGATGTCTTTAAGTAAGTGCATCAGCCCTGGGAAATCCACTGCACCTCAGAACAACGTCTCCAGGGGCTCCCAGCTGCGTGCACAAGACTTTTCAGAGCCACCAAGAGACCTGAACTGCCAGTGTCCATGTAATTCCATGCAGCTTCCTGGTCACTGTCCTGTCTGCTCAGCAAGGACAGTGAGGAGGGTCATCTTTTGCAATTCTCCTCAAAAGCCAAAGGAAGGTTTTTTTGATTTTGAATTGCTGGGAATGGAAGGCAGGGACTTGGGCATGCTAGGCAAGCGCCGTACCACTGAGCTACACTCCCAGCCCCAGGGGAAGCTTTACACTGCAAAGGAGGCTACAGAAAACAGACCTGGGAAGTTACTCTCACACTAGACTGCCCAGCACAGTAGCAACTGGATACAAACACAGGGTAAAACTAACATTACTTAAAACAAGACAGGAGAAGGTATCAAAGGTGATCAAAATACAATATTACATATGTATGTATGTATGCCAATTCCCCAAAACAAATATAATTGCTGTGTTTCACAAGTATTTAACAATTACATGTTTACAAACAAAAAGTTGACATTCAGTTCGTCCTCACAGCACTAGACTGTGCCCCACAATGGCTGGACCATGGACACATTCACAACTCCGTCCCCAGCACCCAGCACCCAGCAGCCAGCACCCTGCCCACACATCATAAGTAAATGAAGGAGTGAATGAACTGAGTCAGGGAGGCAAAAATCATTATAGATTACACTCCACCCCCAGGTAAGATGTCATGGAACACGGCAACATCCTATCTTCCCAGCTAGAGCACACACAGGCAGGAACACGGCCCAGGACACTCAGGGGACTTCCGTGCCCTCCTCAGAGCTGGCCTCCACCTCTTTCTGGCTGCGTGGCCACAGATAGTAACCTCTCTGAACCTGTGTTCCCTCCTCTGTAAAATGGGGCAGCAATAGCTGTGGGGCTCCTGATCACTGGGGTTTGCTTTTTTCTTCTCTAAGTTGCTAGAGAAAACCATAGGTCACCTGCCGTGCTCTGAAAACAGGTCTGGCAAATTTTGGAGAAGTCTCCCCAAACCCATGTGAAGATTTTGGAGAATTACCTCCAAATTCTCTAGAATCCATAGGTCTCAGGTTTGGAATCACAGCTTCCCAACCTCAGCCAGTCTAACCTGAGAGAGTAGTTCAGCCATGGGCCCGGGGAAGCAGAGGGCCTAACACCCTATTGAGGAAGATTCTGCTTCAGAGGTCAAAAATCCTACCAGAATGCACCATTGCTGGATTTCACACACCAAATGCTGCCTTCCTGGGGCTTTCCCAGGCTGAAGGGCCAACAAGGAGCAGAGTGGAGCCGATGCTCAGGGGCTACCATTTCCACCCAGGCCGCCCCCACCTACCTGGAGTCTCTCCCCATTCTCAGCGTCTCCACTTCCTGGCATTCTCAGGAGCGGGTCTAGAAGGTGACAGATCATATTCAGAAAGCTTTTGGTGGCCTACAAGGGCCTGTTCCATGACCACCCAGAGGACAAGGCTGAACAAGAGGCCCGTGTAGCCGCCTGGTCCACTCTTGGCCTCCTAGAAATATGGGTGCCCATGGCCTGGGCCAGCCATTGGTGCACACATCAGGGCTGTGTGTGTGAAGGACAGAACTGAAGAGGATGCAAAATCCATCCAAGCCTCAGAGCTCACAGCAGGGCCCTAACACACTATCTACAGAAGTAGGGGCCCCAAGGTGAGTAAGGCAGCCCCATGGGGCACCTTGAGTTGTGGGTCCTGGGATGAGACCAGTCAGGAAGCTCTGGAATCCATCATGAGCAAGGGCTGGGAGAACTCATCAAGTAGTGTCACGCCACAACCCTCTCCCAAAAGAGTTTATTCAGATAACTGACAGTGTCCAGGGCGAGAGAAGCCTGCAGCCTGCCTTCTGGCAGAAGTTCATGGGAGGTCTCTGGACTCGCAGCCTAGGGTGGTAGATGCCACAAAACACAGGGAATGACACTACCATGCATGAAGGGAGTGGGACAGCAGAGGGTTGGCAGAAGTAGAAGAGGTGACATAGGTACCTCTTAGGGGCCGCAGCCGCCTTCTGGCCACCTTCAGGTGCTTGGTCCAGCCCATGTCCTCTCCCAGAAGGTAGTACCAGCCACTGATGTCCTGCCATGACAGAAGGAATGACACTTTCAGAAAGGGAGGCAGAGGGTTCTGGCCAGGCAGCCACCAACTTCCTTCAAAAAACAGCAGCTGGGCACCATCCCTCAGAGGACAGATGCACCCCTGCCTCCCCACCCAACACTGCCAACCCCGCACCTCCAGGAAGACAAGACTGTCCTCCCTCTGTTGACTTTCACAGCCTCTTCCTCGGAAGACAACTGTCAACTTCCTCTCCCTTCTACAGCCCCATTAGACTGTACACAGGCTCTCTGAAGGGCCTAGTATAGAGCCTGGCATACAGTAGAGGTTTGTTGACAGAAGTAAAAATGGCATGGCGAGGCCAAAGAGTAGCCTTCCTATGACCCCTGCCATCTCTGGGGGCAGCTTATCCTTCAGGATAAGGGCAGTCACACCAAGGGGACCTCTGTGGCAGGCCACAGGTAGCAGGCACAGTGCTATTATTCAGGCCACTGACTCAGTGGTACACCATGTCACAGACAGAAGCTCACCCAAGGATTTCTGGACCAAGACTCCCTGTACCAGCTTGGGCCTAGGGGGGACAGCACTCCAGGAGCTCCGCTGGGACTTACTTTGTTCAGAGTCAGGAGGGACCTCACCCCGAAGCTCATGCAGCCAATGAGTGCACGCTGCCTGGGAAAGAGCAGAGAGTCAGTGTCCCCAGCGGGGCTGAGCCACAGCTTCAGCGGCAGCAACCCAGGTACCCCATGCTCTGGGACTCCGGGCACTTCCATCTGCTCCAGCTCCTTGGCTCCTTCTTAGTAGGTGAATAGGAGTTCTCTCCAGTTTATAGAAGGGAGCACAAGGCTCAAACCAGTTCCCTTTGCAAGGCCACAAGACTAAGAGAGCAGTCAGGTCCTAGAGAGTCAAGCGTCCAAGCTCCTGGTGCAGTCCCAGGAGTTCAGATGACCTCACAGCTCTGAAGTGTCCAAGTGCTGGGAGGGTGGGGAGAGCTGGTCCCCACAGGGGCTCCCAGCCCCCACCTCACCCAGGGATGGATGCTCAAGAAGCTTTGTCCACTCAGGTCCACCCAGGGTCTGTCTGGCCACAATCAAGAGCCACAGGAACCCAACACACAAGAGTCGCCAAGACCCATCTGACCTCACAGCCCACGGGGCAGGCATGAACGAGGCAGGGCCAGGCCTTGGGGAGGGGCTGTGTTCAAGCTGGACCTCTTGGTTTAGAGGAATATGGGGTTCCTGAAGCATGGTCACCATGGAGCCTCAACCTTCAACCATCAGGAACCGATCAATAAGCTACAGCATTTTAAATAATGGTGACATTGATTAACATTAATGAAATGTAAAAGTAAAGCTTATATTTGTTAGAGAACATGACAGTCACAAAACTATAGTTTAATGAAAAAAGAGACCCACAAAAATAACAATGGTTGTATGTGATTGGTGGAATTATTATGGATTTTTGTTTTCTTCTTTGATTTTTTTCACTGTTTTTGAATTTTCACAGAGAACAAGCATTACTTTTGTAATCAGAAAATTAGCAGTCCCAAAACAAATGTAATTGTTATGTAAAACAAATGCATACTAATATAAAAGAAAAGAAACAGTACTAGTATATTTTTAAATACTTTGATTATAGCACAGCCTGCTCTACCCTAACAGTAGAGTCTATGGGGGATTTCCTCTCATGTTTGTGTCCCCTTAACCCATCCTCCCTGTCTTACTGCATCTCCCAACTCAGACTCCTTTCTAAATTGGCTTAATAACTATTAATCAAAAACTGGGGCCTAACCCTGGTGAGTGAATTCAGTATCTGAAGAGCCCACACAGACCAGGGATTTGGCCTGGTCATGAGGCAGTGTCACAGGCAAAGGTGGCCAAGAAACAAAGGAAGCAAAGCCCTTGCAGCCCAGCCTCTTGGGAACCTGGACTATGGGGCTGGAGCCAGGGCAGTGGTTCTGACCCGCAGGGCACCACACAACCACCTGAAGTGTCTGCCTGAGGGCTGGCTGCAGAGCTCGTACCTGAGGTAGGCCCAGGCATGGGAGCCTGGAGGAAGCTCCCAGGGACCCTGCAGGGCACCCACACACGTCTGCCTCAGTCACAGACCAGAGGCCTGGAAGGTCTCTATCAGTACACATTGTTTGGATTCTCTGGAAAAGGTGGCAACTCACTACCTGACAGTCCTCAGCAAAACAAAACCCACTTCTCACAGGGGCCCAGGTCAAGCAATGAGTGGGATGACGGGATGTAATGGGCTGCCCCTCTAGGGAAGCGCTTATTTCACTGAGCCATCTCCCCAACCCCTTGGCTGACCCTCTAAGCTGATCCCAACAGCCCATCCTGCTGTGAGCCCAGCCATGGGACAGACCTCCGTACCCAGCTGTCTCCCACCAGTGGCCCACACTCAACTGCAGCTATGTCTACTCCCCCTTTTCCTTGCACTTTCTCATTCCACTAAGTCAAGTAATAATCTACTCAAGGACAATGCTGTCACCTCAATAAAGCAGACTTTCCTCGATCATCTCTTCAGCCCACTGGCAAAAACAAACACTCCTCCCTCCTGGGAAGTGGCCAAGACAGCGCCAGTAGGAGCCACAGCAACCAGCACAAGTGGCGGGCACTTGTCCAAGCTGCCCCTTGAGAAAAGCCTTGTCACGACTTTGCCAAAGTCCTCCTGGTGATTTTTTTTTTTCCCATACATTCAGGAGCTCCCTAGCTGGCATCTAGGTGCCGGCATTGCTTTGCAGTACACTTTTCTCTCATGTTGGCTACCATTGAAACTTCCTAAATCTCCAGGCCAGTGCATTAGCTGTAATAAATACTGCCTCTCCTGGCTCTTTGGTAAGTGGAATTTTCATTCCCTGGTGCTTAGAGAATGCTAAATGGTTAATAGCCTCCCTTGAGCTTTGCTTCCTGCTAAGGGGCCTCCAACGATTTCATGATCGTTCAGGCAGAGTAAATCATCACAATTAATGTCCACAAGCAGGAACCTCTCTCTGAGTGTTCTTCAATTAGCTACTTCTGAAGGTTGCTTTTGAAAACCCTTTGGAGGAAGAAATAATTCTTTATAAGCAGTCCAAGCATATGGCGACAATCCAGTCAGCCTCTAAACTTGGGACCTCAAGCTCACCCAGGAGAGGCCTGAAATTTCCCTAGGTGCAGAGTATCTGAAACCAAGCTTTAGTTACTCCCGACTACCAAGGCCCGAGCCCAGTGAAGGCTTGACAAATGGGTGAATCCATCATACCCATGGTTGGCAGGCACTGGGCAAGAAGCCGCAGTGTTAAGGAAACAAGACAAACAGGCAGGAATCTAAATAGCAGCTCAAGACAGCAATACAGGACATGTCACAAGACAGGGTGAGATTGACAGATGAAAAACGCAGGCAACACGTTCTGAAGGCACAGGAGGCAAGGGGTAGTTTAGGGCTGAGAAGCTGGCAGAAGGCCCAGTGAGTTGAGCCAGAGAGAATGAGAGGAAGGGCATTTCAGGCTAAGAGAACAGCAAGGATCGAGGCTTGGAGGTAACTCCATGGAGCACACAGGGAGGAGGGCATCCAGCTTATACTCTAATGTAGGGTAAGTGACCCTCTGTAAGATGAAAAGACGTTAAAACAGGCTACAGAGGCAGGAGGAGCATGTGTTCGGTTACCTGGGCTTTGCAGCAAGATTCTGTCTTTAAAAAGCAACAGTAGGAGTTGGGGAGATAACTCAGCAGTCCAAGCACCTGCCTGGCAAGCACAAGGATCTGGGTTCAATCCCTGGTACCACATGCTGTGCCAGCTACAGAAACTGGGCATGGTGGCACATGCCTGTAATCCCAGCACTGGTGAGGCTGAGACAGGAGGATCACTACAAGTCCAAGTTGCATAGCAAGACTCTTGTCTAAATGAAATACATAAATAAATAAACCATAAAAGTTTTTTTTTTTTAAAGCAACAGTAAAAATGTGGAGTTCTTTTCCTCAGGGAAAGTGTTGTATCTATTTATTTTAATGTATTTGATGCAGGGTCTCACCATGTATCTTGGACTTAGTAGTGATCCTCCCATTTTCAGCCTCCCCAGTGCTGGGATTACAAGCACGTGCCACCATGGCTGGGGAGGTGGGGGCGGCATGGCATGTGGTGTCAGGGATCAAACCCTGGGCCCTGCACTTGCCTAAGCAGGCACTTAGTCCACTGAGCTATCTTGCCAGCCAGAGGGAAAGTATTTTAAATCTCACTGTCTGTCTTCCTCTGTCTCTGTCTCTGTCTCTTTTTCTCTCTGGGATCTGAAACTTTTTTATTATAGAGTTACACAATTTAATCTCCATTTATTTTTTCAAAGATTCTGTTCATATATATATATATTTTTTTTTTAACTTGGTACATACCATATCAATTCTCTTCAAGAGTGTTCTCTGTCCACACATTCTGAAAATGCTGTAACACATACTAGCAGCTTCTTAGTTTTTACCATGCCGTGAAACAGAACCTTCAAATGTTCAGTTCCTTGTTGTGTGATTAGTAAGTGTAATAATGTTGTTGTGGTTGGAGCTTTTTCTTAAAGCCATTCTTTAGAGAGACACACTGATGAGATGGGGTGGTGTGTGGGATTTGCTTTGAAATAATCCCCTGGAACAAGGGAAGGAGGGCAAGGCACAGATGAAATAAGATCTGCTGGATATCGGTAAGGGGCGCAGGCTGAGTACATGATGCTTTCTACCTTGTGTACATTCGAAAATATCTGTGATTTCTAAAGATTCACAGAACTTCGAAGTTAAAACTAACCTTAGAGACCACTACATCTTACAGGCAAGGAAACTGAGGCCCACAGCGGGCAAGGAGCTGGCCCACGGTTCACGGGCAGGCAGAGTTCCGAGGCTGGGTTCTCCTCAGCGGGCACTGCTCTCTGCCGGATGCACTGAGGCCATCAGGCCCTCTGCCAGCACACCTTCGGAGACCATCTTGTTTGTCTAATATGCGTTTACAGCCATCGCTGGGAGGAGGGTGAGGCATCTCAGCCCAGGCACTGTCCTCTTAACTCTTACTGGTGTCAGCATGGAACCACCATGCTTTTGACTGGACAACTGGAATAAACCTGCACCCCAAGTGCTGAGCAGCAGCCCAAGGCCCGAGGAGCACAAGCTGCTGACACAGAGGGCATGGCTTTGGGCTCACTAAGCGCCCGCAGGAGGCAGCAGTCAGGTGCACTGTGATGTAGGTGGGAGTGTACATGTGGTGCCGGACTGGCTGGCTCTGCAGCTTGCCTTCAGTGTATCCCAGCTGTTTTACCTTGAGCAAGTTACCTGGCTATTCTGTATGTTTCCTATTAAAAGCAAATCAACAAACAAGCAAATAAAAACAGGGCCATGGTGTAACTCAGCAGTGTAGCACCTGCCTGGCAAGTGCAAGGCCTTGAGTTCAATCCCCGTGACCAAAAAAAAAAAGAAAATGAAAGAAACAACAACAACAATATTGCCCAACTTGTATGGTGTTTGAAGATTAAATCAGATGATGCAAGGTGTGCCCTTGGGCCTCATGTCCACACATACCAAGTGCCTAATAAGTCTGAAATGTTATAAATCCTCGAACCAGGTTCTTGGCCTCCACAGACCTCAGTTTACCCTTCTCTGCAGTGGGACAATAATAATCACCTTCAGCAATGTTAATAAAGTTAAATGAGATCATAGGTGCAAAATGCTTGGCACAAAGCAGAGCATGGTAAATGCCTGTTTCCTTTCTTCTGCAGTTGTCTTTCATGCTGGTGAGCTGGATGTCTGTCCTTCAGAGAATTTGATTTGGCAGCACTGACAAGAGCCTGAGTTTCCTGCCATTTCTGTTTTCTCCTCTAGGTCAGAGGCCGTCTCGTTCAGAAATGGATCAACAGAGGAGACAGTCCTCTGCCGGAGAAAGTGGAGGCTGAGCCTGCCACCACAGTGCTGCAGGCTGGCAGTGCCAGCTGCCTGGAAGCCAGGCCTGTCTAAGCCCACCCTGTCACCCTCAAACTCAGGGCTGGGACTGTGACCATGAGTTTGGCTGTGTCTTATTTAATAAGGAATCTCACTTTCCCAAAATAGGCAACAAGTGGAGATACTGCCGGCCACGCTGGCTCTCTGGGGCTGACTCACTTTCCCCGGCCTCACATTCTCTTCCAAAAAATGTGACCCAAGTTACTGGCTTCTTCTCCTGCGGTGCTGCCCTTAGGCTCCCTTCTTTGTTTTTGTTTTGTATTATTATTATTTTAAATTTTATTTGTGTGTGTGTGTGTGTGTGTGTGTGGCCAGCTCAGCCCACCAGGGGGCGGGGCTGGCTGGCATGTGGTGCTGGGGATTGAACCTGTGCTTTGCCAAGCTTGTTCTAAGTAGGTGCTTTAGACCACTGAGCCATCTCACCAGCCCCGGTATTATTTTTTTTATCGGGTACAGGATCGCACTGTGCAGTTCAGACTCATAGTGATCCTCCTGTCTTGGCCTTCCCTGGCACTGGGATTACAGGTGTGTGCCACCACACCTGGTTTCTGTGGCTGGCTCAGTGTGCCTGGGACTCCAGAGCCAGCACGGCATGTGGTAGCAGAGTTCAAACCTGGGTCCTTGTGCCTGCCAGGCATCGCTTAGACCACGGAGTCATGTCCCCAGCCCTCAAGCTCCATTCTTAACAGAGGACAGAGCCCCGTGGAGGGCATGGCTCGTCCTTGACTACCTGTGGGCTTATACTCCTCCACTGCCTCCTGCGGGGCTTTCCTTACCTCTTTCCAACCCTGCAAAGACAGGGTTCTGACCCCTGACCCTTGACTCTCAGTGATTTCTCTGGGTGGTCTCACCTTGAAACGCCTCCCACTGCCTCCATGGCCACAGCTCCACACCTCTGCCACCACACAGACCACTCTCCCAAGCCCGGGCCGCTCTCCAAACACCTGCATCTCACGGCACGAGCTGATGCACCTTGCTGCCTGGTTCACCTTGTCTTCTTTGGGGACTCTACCAGCTCCCCAAGGACTGTCATCAACTTCTCTTGTCACTCCCATAGCAAGGCTCTAGTAAGTACCACTGATTTAGTTTCCCAAATATGCCCTGGCTCTGTTACCTTCCTCTTGATCTCTAGGCCAGCTTTCCCACCACCTCCCAAAGACCTACCAACATCACAGATCTAGGATGTACGTCTCTCAACCCCTCGCCCCGCACCCCAAACACCTCACTGGCTGCATGAAGTTACCTCACAAACGTGTATGAATGAAGAGTCCTATGCCCCACCCATGAATAATCAGATTTAGTCACAGGAATACAGCACCTGGAACTCTGACTTCCTCACAAGCATCCTGGCTGAACCTGGTGCACATCCAGGACTGAGAAACGCTGGCCCTTGGGAGGAAACCTGATCTCCAAGGAGAATCCCTGCACCATCTGATTGACTTTTTTTTTTTCTTCCGGAACTGGAGATTGAACTCAGGCCTTTACGCTTGCCAGGCAAGTGTTTGTTCTACTGAGCCATCTCTCCGGCCCCCCATCTGATTGATTTTTGCCAACTCCGTCTTATCTCTGACCAGTGTCTTCTTTGCACCTGACCCTCCATTAACACCATCGAATCCGCAGATAACCACCCAACACATCCCTGCCCTGCCCTCTCTGCTGGTCCTCTCTTCTGTCTTCTGCTGTGCATCCACTGGGAACAAAATGCACAGTGTCAGGGCTAAGGACTCTGGGGACCCCTTCGCTCCCGGCTCTCACGCTTCCCAGCCTGGAGTCCTCTCTGCTCCACATGACCTTCCACTGCTGCCAGCCACATCCGCCCTCCTGTGCTCTACAAGGTCAGCCTGCGTGTTTTCTCCTACACATAACTTCTGTGCTCCTGTCTGCTTGTCTTTGCTCATGCTGTACCCTACCTGGATGCCCTTCCCAGCCTCTGCCTTATTCTCAATCTGCCCCAGGCAAACCTCCTGCGTGTCCCATGAAGCCCTTCTTGACCAGCCTGCCCACACCTCTCCCTCTTCTCACACCTACTGTCTTTTCGCTCATTTTATTCCTTTGGTCACATGACCAATATTTCTTAAACAGCTCTGGGCCAGGCACCACATACAGCAGTGATTCAGAGCAAAAGAGGCCAATTTTTCAGGGTCCTTCTAGTCCTGCAGAATTGGGTGTGTGCAGATTATTCCTGTAATTTGTCTCCACTCAGCACCTGGTGTCGCTACCTGCACAGTGGGTATACTGGGACCAAAACCCGCACGTGGGTTGCCTGGCACCCTGGTGGCCAGCACTGTGTCTTATTTACACCAAGCACTCAGCAAGTCTTTGTTGGCCTCACCTGGAGTGACGGTGACTCAGGGGGTGGCAACCTATGCAATGTACCATTGTCACTAACACCCTTCATTTATCCAGCAGGCACTAATTGAAGCCCTGCTCCACGCCGGCCACTTGACAGCCACCCGTAGCCCCAAGCAGGATTTGGCCTCCTCAGCAGTTCTCACCTGGTGGTACTGGCTCGGTTCCACACGGAAAGCAGAAGACGTTTCTGATCATCCTCTTCTGGCACGGGGCTATGAACCAAAGCAGACGACCAGAGCATTCAGAGGGTGCCTGAGCTTCAGCCCAGATCCCTGGAGTCAGTTGTGATTGCAAAACTATGGAAATAACCTAAGCAGGTGGATAAATAAACTGCAGCACAAACAGTGTAGGAGATGAGTACTTACATGTGTTACAGAGTTCGAATCACATTAAGTACAAGAGAGAGGTCACAACACACCATTGGAAAACACCACCACCCTGTGAACATGCCCAGACATACACACCCACACAAAGGAGAGGGTCTGTCAAGAAAGGCATCAGGGCCTGTCTGTTGGATTAGCATGCCAGTGGGTGAGCTTTACTTTTGCTGCTCAATTAGGTTATGAATTTTCAAGAAAAGACCACCAGTCCGTGACTTTTCCATAGTCCCCAAAGCTCTCCAAGGTGGGTACTAATATTAGCCCCATCTTATCAACAAGGGGGCTGAGGGAAGTTAGCAAGTTTAAATAAAAGGGGAGAGCAAGAGGCAAACATCCTTCTGCTTGGGAAACTTCTGCTAAAGGCAAGCGCTTGGCCCCAGGCACAGTGGGAAACTGCCTCCTCTTCAGGCTGGGCACTGTATGCTGAGAAGCAGCCCAGTGATACCTTATCGCAGTGGCCTCACCACTGGGCCCAGGGCCAGGGATGCAAGGACACAGGGAATGAGAGAACAAAGGCACCCTTTAGAAGTCACTGCTTTTCTGCTTAGATCTAGTTCTAGATCTGGCAAACAGAGCTGTTTCCAGATAAACACTCCATCCTGCTCCTCTCAAGGGCCCGTGGCTCCAGATTCTTACAAGAAGAAGTGCTCATGGAAAGCTGGGTCTCTGCAGTCAGGAATGGTCTGAGTCTTCTGAGCGCGTGCTCGATTACTTTCAGGGATCAAAGAAATCTTGAATTGAAAAAGAAAAAATTAAGCATTAGCTGATCTTATAACCACAGAACCACCTAAACCCAGCAGCTACCTCTACATGTCTCTGGGCTAAAGGCTTCCCAGTGTCCTTCAAACCAGCCTCTGCAGAGGATGGAGGGCAGTGCCCCATTAGTTGTTGGAAAAGAACACAGCCCTGGGAGGAGAGGTATTGGAGTCAGACACCAGGACAAGCTTCCTGATAGCTGTTACCAAGAAGACAGTCATGGGCTCAACCAAGATGGGCAATAACTGACACTTCTCTGCTCTTTTCCAACCAGGGAGGCTTCCCCCAAAGCCAAAGGCCTCTTCTCTTCTAAGTTTTCGGCAGCCCTAGAAAGTTAGCCCCCAGGGAGGCCCATGCCCAGGCTTTCCCTGAAATGCCCTTCTTCTGCCTCAGATGCCCAGCCCTGTTCCTAATCAAGTCCTTCTCTATGACCTTGAGCAGCAGAGGGTTTTGTGAAGAATGAGGCCATGGACCTAGCACAGGCCTAACAAATACCCACTGACCCAATGAGTGAGGAAGTACCATGACCGCATGGTTCCAATTCCAGGGGTATGCTGGGATTTTGGGACCCAACCCAGATATATGATCCCTAAACATACCCACCCTGCCTCCAGCCCCACCATATACCTTCACATAGGGATCGCAGACTCCAGGCTCTTTGCTTATCAGGCCTTTGCCTTCGATGACTGAAAGAAAATTAAAATGTTGAACAGGAGCATACACAGACCCACACTAATCTGAAGATCTGAAAAGAAATACAAGACATATGTAGTAGAGGGGTGATGGCCCTTACCCCCAGGCCCTAGTCCATATAATATTAAGCTCTCTCTGGTCTCGTCCATTGCCACCATTGCCCATGCTCGAGTAGCCCCATGTCACGGAATCTTATGGCTGGAAAGGAGCTTAAAATGTACTGAGCCAACCACACTGCCATCACCCTCCCCATTATGGCGGGGAAATGAGACTGCAAAGTGGAACCAAACAAGTGAGAGATCAGTCCCAGATCTCAGGCACTGAAAGTGAGAGGTGGATTTAGAACTCATGTTTCTTGCCTCCTAGTCCAGTGCTGTTCTACCATACAAGACTTTGGGACCCATATATGTTCTACCATATAAGTGCTAATGACTGTGCTTCCGGGGAGCATAGGGTAGGGGCTGGAGTCAAGCCGCAGACCCTGTGCAGCCAGGGACCTGGGAATGCAATGACAGGCTAGTACCCATCATAGCTTGGGTTCCAGAGCAGGCCAACCTGGGCATGAGTCCCAGCAGGACCACTTACTAACCACATCATGTGCGAGAGTAAGTCACCATTTTTCCACAGTGCTAATAACTGTGCTTCACATGGTAACTGTGCCCATTAAATACATCTAAAGTGCTTAGAGGACTGCCTGACCAGGGAGATGTGTTCCACAAATGCTTGCTAAAGGATAAATGAAAGCGAGGGATAGGTGCGGGGTGGGTGAGGCCTGGTCCTGAGGGCAGAGTGGCCCATTTGCCTGAGGGCCACAGAAGTCTCTTTCTGTTGACTTTTATGTTTGGCTTTGACTGAGCCCCAGGGTTTGGCTTGGATGCAGCCTCCAGCAGCCTGGGGCAGCAGGCCTGGGAAGCCAAAGGAAGGAGCAGGGACCGGCTGGAAGGGATGAAGGGCCCGAGACTGGGGGGAAGCCAAAGCAAACTGTTCAGGACAAATGGGGTGGTGCAGGCCAAGATGAATTCTGCAAAAACTGTTTGCACAGCTGGAGTCAGACACTGGCACGCAAAGAACACCTCTCTGGGAATTTCACCTTGGGCCCCTCTAGGCCAGGACCAAGGGACCCCAGGCGCCTGCTGGCTCACTCTCCTCTGTATCCTAGTTACTGTTGATGTGTGGATTTGTCCCCTGGAGGGCATGGTTCTCCAGAGCAGGATCCAAGCTTAATGAGTCCTCTGTCTCCCTGGGTACCAGCGACACTGAGGGAGACCTGCCCCCGCTGTACCCCACACTGAGTGCACAGACCAGACCTGGGGAGGCACTGTGTATCCCAGCTGTGATGAGGAGGAAGCAACAAACTCAGCCCTGGGAGGCAGGGCCGGGAGTGGTGACTCTTAGTGGGGAAAATACTAAGCAAAACGAGCCTTCCTTCCTGAGTTTTAATTAAGCTTGATTAAGACAGGCACACAAAGCAGAGGCATGGAGAGGTGTTTTCCAAAAGGAGTTTAACAAAGGAAAGTTGTTCCAGACACCAGTGAGAGCAAAGCTTCAGAGGCATGGACCAGCAGGGTGCATTCACAGGGGTACAGGAGGCAGATGAAAGAGGGGGTGAAGGGTGCCTTGAGCGGCAACCGCCAGGCAGGCTGAAGAGCCAGGCGGGGCCTTCTGGGCTAAACAGAAGAACTCAGGCAGTGCGGACCACGACAGAAACTCAGTAACTACCCCTGTGCGGGGTGCAGGAAAAAAGCAATGGATGTATAAAGTATGAAATCCTCCCATGCTGAGATAGCTCAGTGGCACAAGCACCTGCATGACAAGTGCAAGGTACTGGGTTCAATCCCTGGTACCAAAAGAAAAAAAAATAGTCCTCCCACGCTGTGCCCCAGTCATCCTGGACAGCTCCTCAAAGGACATCTTGCACTCTCTGGACGCTAGGCCTCTGCACCCGCTGCTCCGGCTGCATGAAGCCCCCGGAACAGCTCTCCTGTTCCTTCTGCCTGGCTCAAGCCTGTTGCTCCTTCAGGCCAGAGTGTGACATTACCACCTTTCCCAAGACCTAGATCACACCAGCACAACTTAGATGAGGGTCCGGGGAGACGGCTCAGTAGAATAAGAGCTTGCCTGTCAAGTGCAAGGGCCTGAGTTCAATCCCTGGTTCTGTCAAAACAACAACAACCAAAAAAAAAAAACCTAGATGAAGTCGGGTGCTTCTCCTTGGTGTCCCCAGTTCCTGCCATACAGTCAACACTCAGTCACTATTTTAGGAGCTCATGGTTTTGTTTTGTTTAGCAGGCATGTGTATGGGGTTTACAATGTGCTCAGCTTAAGCACTTTACCAATACGAACTCATCTAATCCTTGCAGCAGCCCCTAAGGTGGCCACGACTAGCACCACCATTTGACACTTGGGAAAACTGAGCTTGTTTAAGGTCACTCTGCGGGTAAAAGATTAAGTCAGGATGTGGATCCTAAGGGTCTGGCTCCAAAGAGCGTGACCTTAACCACGCACTGCCCATCAGTAATGGAATGAGAAGAGGGAAAAGAGAAAGTGGAAAAAAGCAAAGAGGGAGCATCGGAAGGCTATTCTGTCCCAGGACACGGGGGACACTGAAGTGCCCAGGGCAGCTCCAGCCTACGCTGTGGAGCCCAGACAAAAGAGGGCCAGAGTTATGATTTGTGTCCCCCCAAAGCCTCATGCAGCCATGGGGCGGCTTCTGGAGTTTGTGATTGATTATTACAGATGTAAGTGCTACACCCTGGCCCTGGGGTGGGTAATTAGCATTACAATGTGAGGAGGAGAGAGAGGCTAGCTAGCTGCCTGAGCGGCCACCACCTCTTGCTCTCTGCCACCTCCATGAATAGCTGCTCTGTGCCTTGGAGCCAGCTGAGCATGGGCTGAAACCTCCACTAACTGTGAGCTAAATAAACCTTTCCTTCCTTAATTTTGGGTGTCGGGTATTTGTCCCAACAATGAGAGAAAAGTAACTGAGACAGCCAGGAACTAGGGCTGGATCTATAGAAAGAGCCCCCAAGTGAATGCCCACTGTTGTCAGTAGATACACAGCAGGATACTGTACAAAGATGAGAAAAGAGGCCATGGCCATGGTGACACCACCGCCCCCCTGCTCCAGGAAGGAGGTAAGTGGCCTGCCCCTTCCTTGAGGGGTCTGCACATGGCCATACTCACTGTGCAGCAGCAGGATCCGGTCCTGGGCGTCGATCGACAGCTTCAGCTGACCTAAGGAAATAATGAGAGAAATGACCTCACCCCAGCTTCTTGTGGGGAGAACAGTGGTGACAGGGCCTCGCTATGTAGTTCAGGCTGGCCTTGAACTCATGGTGAGCCTCCTGCCTCAGCCTCCCATGTGCTGAGATTACAGGTGTGAGCCACATGCCTGGCCACAGTACTTGGTTGGAAGGTGGCTCAGAAGCCCCCTGGCTCACCCTCTGCTGCAGGACCCTCAGCACAGCTCTCTAATCTAACTGGTGCCAGTCTGGAGATGGGGAGCTCACTCCTGCGCAAGACAGCCCAGAGCTCTGACCATGTGCGGCTGCCATCAGTGCTGGCAAAGGTGTAGGACAACGGCACACGCACACCCTGCTGGAGGGAGGCACGGTGCAGGGCGACTGCTGGCACTGTCTACTGGAACTCAGACCTGCATATCCACCAACCTAGCAATCTTCACTCCAGGTTACTCACAGAGATAAAAGCTCAGAGAAGGGCAGAGAGGCTGGTACCTCAGCAGTGCAGAAAATAGGAAACATAAAGTAAGGGCCTGAAATATCCACCAACATAAACATGGTGAAATAAATCATGCAGAGCTGTTCTGTGCCATGGTTGGGGTGGCTCCACTTGACCTAGCATGGGAATATCACCGAGGAATTTATAAAAGGGACAATCAAACTGCAGAACAATAAATATGCACACATATGCCTATGCATGTGCATGTGCATGTGTGTGTGTGTGTGTGTGTGTGTGTGTGTTCCAAAAAAAATCACATTAAAAACAGGGATTGTGGGGCTGGGAGGATAGCTCTGTGGTCTAAGTGCTTGCCTGGCAAGGCAAGGACCCACGTCTGATCCCTGGTACTGCATGCTGTACAGGCCTTGTTGGCCCCCAAACCGGGCATAGTGGTGCACGCCTGTAATCCTAGTGCTGGGGAGGCTGATACAGGAAGAACACTATGAGTCCAAACTGTATAGTGAGACCTTGGATCAAATAAATAAATAAATTTTTTAAAGACAGGGATTGTCTCCAGGAGAGAAACTGGGAATTTGAAGGAAGTAGTCAAGAGAAATTCCAATCTTTTGCTGTTCTTGTTATATTGTTTGGGGGTGTAGTGATTTTTTTGTCTCTGTGGGAGTAGGGGTGGACCACAGGCAGCACTGAGGCACACCTCTCCAATGCCCCACCCCTGAGACACCAAGTCTCACTTGACTGCCCAGGTTGGCCTCACATTTGCAACCTCCTCCCTCAGCCTCCTGAGGATCTCAGTAGCTGACTAGGTCCAGTTCTTGGTATTTTAACAATATGCATATATTTGTGAACAATACACCTCTCTAATTAAAATAAAGAAAAGTAAAACAAAGAGGAGGGAAAGGAGAGGAGAGAAAGAAAAAGAACTAAGGGAGAAAAGAGGGGAACAAGAAAGCATGAAGAGAAGGAAAAATGTAAAGACAAGAGAAACAGCAAGGCTAGAGAAGAGGCGAGGAATGGAGGGCTGGACACAGCTTTTTTCCTGTTTTTATTTAAAGAAAAGAAAAAAAAACAAGACTTTAGATCACACCCATGGACACTCAAGGCCCCCAGCAGGGGTAGAGGAGCAGGAGGCCACGCTCTTCTTCCTCAGTGGTGCAGCTCAGTGCAATTACTTGCCTGGCACACAGCGCCCTGGGTTCCATCTCAGGGGAAAAGATTCCCTGTTTGTCCAGCAGACTCTGCCTGGAACCTCAAGAAGCTACTGAGCTCCATCTATCCAGGGGACACATGCTGGTAAGGCCAGAGGAGCAGAGCTGGCCCCTGGCACCTGCTTAGCTGTGCCAACCCTGTTCCACAGTCACCTCCACCAGGTGTGACCAACAGGGAGGAAGCCTGCCTTCTGTGGTGGAAGCCCCTTTTCTTCTGCAGTTGCTAATTGATGCCCCAGCTTACATGCAACGGAAAGGGGTCTCTCAGTGACTTTCACTGAGCAGATGGCGTTCTGCCAGCCCTGGACTTTCTCCTCTAGGTCTGCAATCCAAGTCCCTCTAACATTTGCCATCCCAGTTTTTCACTGGGCTGCTGGTTGAGGTTTGTGTTCTGCTACTGGCTGGAGCGAGGGTAGGCAAGGTTGGGAGGATGAAAAGAAGGGAAGCTCTATGGCACATAGCTCTGCCTGGGCTCCCTCAAACACTGAGACCCAGCGATCCCTTGATCCTCACGCTAAGAGTATAAACTACATTCAGAAGCAATTCAGAGTCCAACAAACCCTAGCCCAGCCCCATCCTGCTAAAATTCCTGCTGCTCTCCAGGCCAGGATTCAGTTCTCGGGGCCCAGGAGGCCTGTTCCAGTTCCAGCCCTAACTGCTCTCCTCTCTCTTAGACCCACAACATCCGAGGCTGAGAGGCAGAGCTAATGGTAGGGATTACTGTGCTCCCCAAGCTGGGATCAGATATGCTGGAAGGTCAGGAGGTTCTCCAATGAAAGGCTCTGGGAGGCTCCACAGCATTATTAACTCAAAGTCCTTGCAATTACCACTTTGGGGCTCACTGCAGCTGTGACACCTCCTGCACAAACTGCCTGCTCTGGAGTAGGTACAAGAGAGAGCTCTGGAAACAGGCAAGGCCAGCAGTCACGGATCAGATCTCACCCACCCAACCGTGCTATGTTTAGCGCGAAGCACTTTCTTTTTTCTTTCTTTCTTTTTTTTTTTTCTGAAACTACAAGTGCTAAGCCAGCTCTGGCCCAAACATGGTTGGATTTCTAAATCCCTGGGAACCACTGCACTGTATGACACCTATCACCTAACAATGACCCTTCACAGAAATTGACAAGCTTTCCAGCACAACTGGTTAGGAATCCCATTTGGCAGACACCTACCAGGTACCTGCATGAGGAAGGTGGGGACTGGACTCCCCTCCCAGGTGCCTGTTCACAGGGGCTCCCCACCCAGTGGCTCAGACAGGGCTGTGCAAGGCTGAGGCTGAAGCTGAAAAGGAGGGGCCAGGTCTGGTAGGAAGTCTGAGTTGGAATTGAGGAGTCTGCAAGCTTCGGCAGCTCCCCAGAGCTTCCCTTGAAGGCCTGCCAACAGTGCCTGGAGCTCTTCTGCTGTTAACAGAGAAAAACCAAACCCTGCAGACCAATTTCCAGTCTCCCTATTGTAGCTGTAGGCTCATGGATGAAGGTAAATTCAGATCTAGAGGAGGGACCCTGGGACATGCCTCACCCCTCCACCATCTTCCCCATCAGCCCACTCCATCAAATGCTTGACACTCGAGGTCCCTGAGGTCATCTTGCCCGACTCCATATTTGGTAGCCAGAACAATCACACCTGTCCAGGCCACGCTCCCAATGACCTAGCTCCTCCAGCCAGGTTTTCCTCACCGCAAATCATCAGGGAAGATCTAGATATAAACCATAACAGGCAACAAGCCCAGATTCTGCTGGGTGCAGGCGTGCGGGGGTTGCAGACTGACTGGTCACAGTGGAAAGGGTACAGGAGCGGGCTAAGACTTTCAACCTGGCAGACAATCCTCAGTAGAGGACCACAGGAAGGTGGAATCTGACTTCTCTCCAAGAAGAGGCACACTTGGAGCACAACGCAAGATGTGGGCTGCACCCCTCCGTGGCCCTGGGGGAGCCTATGCCAGTCCAGGGAGTGCGGAGTATACATCTAGAGAGATGAGCCTGGCCCACATAAAGTAAAAAATTGCCCTAAAACCTAATTCACTTCAAAAGCAGCTGCCCATTTAAGAACTGTTCCATGTTAAAAGCCACTGAAAGGGTTATGATATGAGGATAAAGGTACAAAGGGGGTGGGCTACACAGGGAGCCCAGTTCACAGATTCACCCTGACTTTGTGAGACCACCTGCGCCCAGGACTCCCCTGCAGGCGGAAGGTGAGAGGAGCTGCTGCTAAGCACCGCCCCCTTCTGCTTCCCAGCCACTTGGTCCACCAGCAGCCCTGGCCAGGCTCAGAAGTGGGTTTACCCATTCTACTCTCTGCCTCCTTTTTTTTTTTCTTTGTGGAACCAGGGATTGAACTCAGGCCCTTGTGATTGCCAGGCAAGCACTTATTCTACTGAGCTATCTCCCTGGCTCCTCTCTGCCTTCTAAGAATCCTTTATTTTATTTATTTATTTTTAATTTTTATTTATTTTTACATTTTATTTATTGTGTGTGTGGCCAGTTCAGCCACCTGTGGGCGGGGCTGGCTGGCATGTGGTGCTGGGGGATCGAACCGTGGTCCCTGTGCTTTGCCAAGCTTGTTCCAAGTAGGTGCTTTAGACCACTGAGCCATCTCTCCAGCCCCATCCTCTCTGCCTTCTAAGAGAGAAGCGGTAGGCTGCTGCAAGTTAGGCAACTGGGAACCACATAGCTCTTGGGACAGAGCTCTGGAGCACTTCAAGCATCTGTTGTGCCAGAAAGAGAGGATTTTTTTTTTAATGTATTTGGTACAGGATCTCACTATGCAGCTCACACTCCTGGTTTTCAGCCTTCCCAGTGCTGGGATTAAAGGCATGCACCACCACACCTGGGCTTGGTGGCCTGGACTTGGTGTCCTGGACTCGGTGACCGGCTCAGCAAGCCTGGGGGCTGGGCCAGCACAGCTTGTGGTACCTAGGATCAAAAAACGGTCCTGCACTTGTCTAAGCAGGAGCTTAGCCCACTGAGCAGAAGATCTTGAGATCCACACAGGGAAGTGGCTCTGGCTTGTGATCGTACCTGCAGAGCGTGACTCAAAGAGCCCAAGGGAACAGAGGCCGCCATACTGGTAAAAAATGGCAGTAGGGCCACTCAACCCCTTTTGCTGGACACTCGGCTTCCCATGGAACCTGATTTAATGTGGCTTCTCAAAATAATATCCTTCTAGAAAGATTGCTCTGGCCAGCAGAAGTTTTCTAGTCTACTCAGCATAAACTAATAAATTAACGTTCTGCTCTCCTTCCTGGGCAAGCCAGGAAATTAAAATTTCTGAGTCTACCACAGTCAGCATCTGACCTTGGCTGGACCACACCATTACCAAAGTCCTGTGGGG